GATTCTCGTACGATCGCGGGTTTTCCCGCGATTCTCGTACGAGAATCGTACATTGTATGGGCACCTTAAGAGTGTGAAGTGCTGTATAAGGCAGATGATATTGTGGAAAGAAATTGCGGTGGAGTGTTGTGATCCGATACAGATATAATTGGGTTGTAGCATGGAAAGTGGGAGCAGACCTGCAAATGAAGCTACTGTCGACAGAGAGGGAGAACTGTGGAGACAGTCAATGGATGCAGCGGAGGACAGTCAAGGTGAACTGACAGACAGTCAAGGTGAACTGACAGACATTGTAGTAGTGTGCATTGATAAGGGATAACTGCCATAAAACAGCATGGATGGGGGATAGGCTGCCAAAGAACATGGTGTGGAGGGGGAGATGCCAGTGAATGTATTGCATAGAGCAGGAAAAGAGTTGCCAGAGAAGCTACTGAAATCTGTGTAAGATAAGCATCAACAGAGGCTACTACAAACACTGGAAAAGGAGGTGCAAGACAGGCATGTGAAAAGTAGTAGACATAGACTCTATTGATTAAAAGAATGTCCGTTCCAGGGGTTGGGCACTACTGAATGAACAATGAGTGTGGTGGAGATTTGTCAAGGTTGCAGTGTAAAAGTCTAGAAGGGGCTGGATCTGAGTGGAGACGCATGTGTTTGCTGCCAAATTCAGTCCTGGTGGTAGAATCCTCCAGCAGGTTAAAGGTAAAAATACAGTCTTTGTAGCACACCCCCTCAAAGAATGGAAGGATTTAAACTCATGTGTCCTGTGAACAGGATCACAATCATCATGTCCTAAACAGGTGGGCAGGACTGAGAATCATCATGTACTGGGGGCAGCTAGTTCGCACGCATCACTCATTCCTGGGCTCGGCTCTATGCAGTAAGTACTCACAGGGAACCAGGACAGAATACCAAGTTAAACCAGACATTTCAGTCCCTTCTAATATATGTAGGAAAAGAAGTACAGGTGCACTTAAACCACTTAAGGAATAGCAACCCCCCTACATGCACAGGCCAGTGTAGCCTTGCGGAATCACTGACAGGTTGACAGTGGACTAATGACACACACAGCACAGCAGCTCACCCCTATCATGCATCCTTGACAAAGGGAAGATGCATGATAGCCTCTGTTCTATCAAAGTTTGAGACTACGTTAGAATGTGTGACCAGTGACGTGATCACACATTTTCACGTAATCTCGCCCAGTTTTTCGGTACTGCTAAATTATAAGATATTCATGAGAAAGCAATCAGGCAGAAGTAAAGCATGATCAATATATCGTTTGTGTTTTGTTCAGCTTAACTACAATGTAAGCATGTAGCTGTACAACTGGAACTGCAGAGTGTATTGTAGAGACTGTGATACAAGGAATAAACATGAATGCTTGTCCTTCCAGACACAGTGATCAACATCTTTTTAGTAAATTCACTGAATTTTCCAGACATGTCATTTATTGGAGAATCTTCTCTTATCTGACAACCTCTTATGTCACATTAGCCATAGGAAAAAAATAAATATGTTTGTATTGCTTACAAATTTCATTGTCTAGGTGTCACACTCACCTGTGCCCTGTTCCAGCACTGAATCTTGTCTACTGCGCTGCAGCAGGGTTCCACCAGCACTGCAGCCAATTAAATCCCAGGCACTGCCTCAGAGGGCTATCTGAGGTGTTGCTCGTCGTTCATACAACACGTCACCATTTTAGCCTGCAAGCCCCCAGTGTTTTCAGCGTCTTCCTGAAACCTTCTGCTGTGCACCCCTGTGAATGTCTGCACCTCCAGTCCATCCTGTACTCCTACATACTCCACTATCCAGACTGTGTTCCTGTGCAGTCCTAGTTTCTCCAGCTTTCAGTTGGTGAGGGTGCTCTCCACACACCTTACAGCAGTCCCGGCCAGTAAAAACAATGGTGCTTGTAGTAACTGCCACGGATGGCACCGTGCAAAATACAAAGTAAATTTAAAAAAAGGACTTATCCATTTAAATTATCTCGAGTGCTGGTGACCTGTCTTTCTACTAGTTTCTCCAGCGTTAACTCCGTGAATCTCCATGTCTCCAGAGCTCACAGTGCCCCTGCTGTGTCTGCAGCATTACCAGCTCTCCAGTTTCTCTAGCATCCTTACGCCCCAGTGCTTCCAGAGACATTTGCACCTTTGTGCAATACAGTAGCTCCACCCTACTCTGGGACCCGGGTGTGCCCTGTAATGTCAGCATTTCACTGGCTACCCCTGCTCTAGACCTACCCAACTGGCCCACTTTCAGTAAGGCAAATGCTTACTTACGCTTCAAATTTAATTTTTTGAATCTGTTTAAGAAATATTTGTAACGTGAAGTACAGATCTTTTAATATAGCACTGCTTGTATTTCATCTCAATTGACCCTTTATTGAAAACAGTGAGATTACAGTATAAAGAAGTGCTTGTGTAAAATCATGCACCTGAATGTACATGTATTTTACGAATTTTGAGGCAGAGTATTAAAACTGTTTTTAGATTAAAGACTTTGAAAATATAACACATAGCTAGACACACAAAGAAAAACAGTAATCGGAGAAGCAGTGATCCTTTGCAATCCAATGGAAATATCTCAGTGGTGGATTAGGGAACAAATAAACAGTCTCGGTCAGACAGATGCCTGTGGTCAAGGCAGTCCTAAAGCAAGGGCGCAAAGCTAAAATATAAAAAGGGATATCAACATCAAAAGGAGACAGTAGCCTTGAAGTCTGAATGTGTTCTGAATGACTCTATAAAACAACACTATCTAGTAGACATGTGCACTGCCAAAAAATTCGTTTAGTTTCGTTTCGTTTTAAATTCGGATTTGTGTTATTTCGTTTTTCAGGATTCGGGTGTGAAAGTCAATTCGGATTCGGAATTCGGATTCGGACGAAATTCGGTAGCGTTAGTACGAACGTTAGTTTCGTTTTCTGTTCTTATTCGTTTCTTATTCGTTTGTTTGCAGCAAAAGTGACATTTGAGGGGGGAAAAATATTTTTCTCCTTCTCTAATGTCACTTTGCTCCAACGAACGAAACGAATAAGAAACAAATAAGAACAGAAAACAAAACGAACGTTCGTACTAATGCTACCAAATTTCGGAAATGGAAATTCAGATTCGTTTGCATTCGTTATGTCTGTAATTCGGATACATCCGAATGTCCGAATTTCCGAAAATTCGTCCGAATTTCGATTCGGAACTAAACGAATCGCACATGTCTACTATCTAGTAAGGGCTCCGCAACTGCTATTTTTTCAGTTAAGTATTTAACTTTTTCATTATGGGATTGCTAAATGGAATGGCGTTGGGTAGTTAAAACAATGCAAAGCATATTGGGGGGAAAAAAATTAAACTGGTTACTTTCTCTGATTCAGTTTGTCATAGAATGAACGTTAAAATCTTACTGGTTGAAGTGGAAAACAGAATCCATTAGTGCTTCAGTTTTTATTGTAAAAACCCAACTTCTAAGGAACAACAAAGATCTCTATATAGCATAAACTCTTATATAGAGATGCTAATATATTGTGATATACACTGAAGCAGCTGCACTGCAACGCACAGCAGCTGGTGTGTGTTCCCGGGCACAGTGCTGATGCATTGGTCCCGGTGCATCACACTCTTTATTTTTTTACATTTTCTTGTTTGAACTCCCCCCTCCCAGTGTACATACACGTGCATGCCACATGTGCACGTGTTCATTTGAATCAGGTGGCAGGGTTGATTTAATTTTTTTAATAATTGTATTATTTTTGATTTATCCCCTTTTTATTTATTTTTTACTTTTTAATCATCTTTTGAATTTCTATTTATTTTATTATTTTTTACTTTTTATTACTTTGAATAGACTGCTAATGTCACCCTGTACCTCCAACATAGAAGGTAAAGCGGCAGCTGACGGCTGGACCAGAGCAGATGTTGCCCAGTCTACTGCTGCTTTCGATCTGGACACTGCATGCTGTGGTCCTGGGCCCCCCCAGAGGAGCGGGGGACCCAAAAACCATGGTGAAGGGTGCAGGGGGGGAGGGCATCAACATTATGGCCTAGTGCAAGTGAATTGGGTGGCTGTATATCTGCCCAGATCTCTTGTAGTTGAGGAACTGGCCCTGCCTCCCTGATGTCATTGGTTGCTAGGAAGCTAGCAGTGACTGAAGCGGGGGGGCCTGCGCTGACTTATGGCCAGCCAGCCGTACCCAGTGCAGGTAGGCGACTGTGGTTGGGACAGAACCACCACAGGGTCCATGTCCCGACCGCAGTCCGCCATTTTTAGTGACCACTAATCTAGAGCATCAACACTGTGCTTCAGGAATCGTAGCAACATCCAGTTTCACAACAGTTTGGGACCTCTATTGATATCTATGTCATACTAACCAGTCTTTCTATTGCTAACAACCAGAGATGCTATGCTTAACACTTCCCATTACAGCCTGACCACTGCATGCTAAATGTCTGGGCTGGTAAGCTGTCTTCCATACAGGTTCCAGTTTTGTACTTTGTTTCACGGTAGGATATGGCCAGTCACAATAAAAAGTTGGCATTTACCTTTACATACACTTTAATGTACTTGCACATTAGTAAATGTACTCATGTGACCTAAAAGAGAACTAGAGCCAAAAAAAAGTTTGGCTAAAGTTTTCCAAAGATAATACTGTAGCAGTGAATTCCTCTCCACTCTTATCCCTGGATTACAATCACTTTCCACTCTAGCTCATCCTAGCTGTTATGATTTAAGAACTGGATAGGAAGCTTAAAACAAAATTCTTAAAACAAGTGACAACTCCGGTGACCTAACAGTTAATGCAGCACCTCCTAGACACATAAGGTATTCTTCTCGGTCAATGCATGCCCCTAAAATATTTTTGGTATAATGTGCAGCATTTTTGGGGAATTACGAAAGCAGCAAATGAGTAGCTGCCTGCAGGCCACGTGACAGGACTGCCCATAAATAGCCCAGACTGGTTTCCGTTTGTTTTGTAGGAATTAAAACCTCCTCTCTCTCCCTCTCTCCTCTCTCTCTCTCTCTCTTTTTGTTAAGTCAGGAAATTATTTGCATGCAATCCACATGAGCATACAAGAGCAGTTTAGGAGATGTCTGTGTGCTGAAGGGCTGGTCTCCTGATGATGTGGTATAGGAAACAAAAATCCCTTTAAAGGATGGCTATCCGAGAGCTGAAAGTTTGCCTTTTGGGGGTAAGTGTTATTTTAGAAATCCTTTTTAAGAAAAAAGGATGTGGGTGGGGTGACAGCGTACAAAGGAATGAAGTTTGTTTGTAACGGAAGAAGTAAATTGGCTTACTGATTCTGTATCAAGCACTGATTCTGTATCAAGCACTGATTTTAAATTCAGGTCACTGGCAACTGTACTCAGCCCATATTGGTATGCATTCTTCTGCCAGCAATGCAGAGTGCAGAATTGCATCTCCCAGAGTAAAGGAGGAAAGGTGTTGCACAAAAGAGACAACAGAGATGCGTTACTTAAACTGTGGAAAATGTCCATCTTGCTTTTGTCTTTTTGATTGTTCTGTACAGCCATAGACTTGTACTTCGGCAGATGTTATTGAGGCATGCATGTGTTGGCAGTTTTTATGCTGATTTCCTTTTACTGTTTTATTTTTCTTCTCAGTGCCAGGGTATTGTTGACTTTTTTTTTTGTTTAAATACTTAACTTTATAATGTTGAAAACTTCAGAGTCTTAGCAAGTAGAGGAGGACTAATTTATGGTATTAACTCATACATGTTGCAAGCATATAGTAGGTACTGGGTACTACATTATTAAAGTCATTGTTTTCATGTCTTATTCTTGGCATCTAAAAGGCAAGCTATTGTCATCAGCACAGTCATTGGAACTCACTGGTATTATTAAAGCTGAACTCCAGGAAAACAATTTAATACACAGATTAAATAAATATATGAGCGCTGTTTTACCTGTCAAATGATTTGTATTTCTGCTCACTTAATCCCAGGGGCGTAACTACAAATCATGGGGCCCCATAGCAACATTTTGATGGGGCCTCCTGACTAGCTCTGTGTACAGCTGAAAATGTTAGCAGTGACAATATATGCCATTGATCTTAGTATAAAATATGCCTAAGTTCCAGTCTGACTTCAGCCCTACACTGAAAACTTCACAATATGGTTTTCCTCCTTAAGCCTCCTATTGGGGCCCCCATCCTACCCCAGGCCCCATAGCAGCAGCAGATTCTGCTATGGCTATTGTTACAGCACTGTCTAATTCTGAGATTTACACAGCTCTGCCACACAGCACAGCCCTGCCTAGCAGGACATCGGGCTTGATCTTTCTCTGCTGTAGTTTCACTTTCACTTACAGCTCTCCTTCCCACTCCTATCCTGTGTCTGGACACAGAAAGAGAAGTAGCTTTGATGCTTTGAGCTAATTTTTCTGTCACTCAGCAGTGCAAGGAGCGGCATGCTCCTTGCACTGCAGGCACACCTGGTTGGCTCCTCGTGCTGCTTCCCCTTTGGCCTCTCTAAGCTCTGCTGTAGATTGGTCTCCAAAAGGCTAATACAAGGTCAGGTTCAGGTACTTATACTGCATGAATGTTATAAATGCATTTTAGATCTTTCTGCAGTTCAGCTTTAAAGGAAACCTGTACTCCGAAAACATGGGAGCTCCAAATTGCCTACCTCCTTTTGTGAAAATGATGGCTACCTGCTGTAGCTGTCATACTAATCCTATTGGTTCAGTGCAACGGTTAAGTGGTCGTCTGTGTCTAGGGACAAAAATAACAAAGTTTTACTCACCTGAAGCTCTCAGCACAGGCTGATGGAGTGATATGTCAGCTGGCCAGCTCAGAGCTTCAGGTGAGTAAAACTTTGTTATTTTTGTCCCTAAACACAAACAAGCACTTAACCCTAACATTGGGGGGTAGCCCCACTGCAAGGATGAATAAAATGTTTTCCTGGAGACCTACTTTATAGAAGTGGAAAAGCACTTTTGAAATTACATTAATATTTAGATTGTAAGCCCTCTGGGCAGGGCCCACCTTACCATCTTGTCTTGATTTGTATTGTATCTGTAATGTCTTCCTTATACTGCAAAGCACTGCGCAAACTGTTGGCGCTATATAAATCCTGTATAATAATTAACATGCTAAACCTTCGAGTTTAGTGATTTGGTTTTAGATCTACTTTGAGAAGTTTTGGCTTTAATCTAGCTTTCATTTAGGGCTAGTTCACACTATATACTATAGTTAACCTTTTTTAAACTTTATTAAAATTTTCCAAAATGACATCTCATTGTTTTCTATGCACCGTAGTGGAGCTGTGGCGCGGTAACCGAAGGTGACTTCAGGTGAGCTCTGGTGCATTGTGAAAAAAATGCAGCATGTCTGTATTATTGCACAATGCACTGCAACCCATCTCAAGGCAGCATTGTGCTGTGAACAGAAAATATAGAAAACAATTGTTTTCTATGTGCCCTGGTATTGAGCCTGTGTTGGCCTGTGCAGATCAATGCAGCCCAACGGAACTGGTGTGAATGAACCCTTAACTGCCTCCGGGCCGGCCGTAGTAAAAAAACGGCCAGCCAGGAGCTCTCTAGATCTGAGCGGGCGTCTTCAGACGTCCGCTCAGACACGCCCCCTTGCACGCGCCGCCGGGCGCGCGAGCGGGAAGTGGCCGCAATTTAAAAACCGGCAGCGATGCCCGTTAATATACATGCGATCCGCCGGCTGTAAAGCCATTCCCCCCCCAAAAAATTGTAAGTAACACATAAAAAAGAATGTAAAAAAAAAAAAAATTTAAGTCCCCACCCATACATACACGCAAAAATAAAGCTCTATCTGTCCTTTAAAAAAATGGTGTAAAATTCATTTCAGTACAGCGTTGCATGACGGAATAAACGTCAGTCAAAGTATCGCAGCGCTGAATACTGAAAAATGGCCTGGCCAGGAAGGGGGTCTAAACACCTGGTCTTGAAGTGGTTAAAACTGATCTTCAACTTAATTCCCCCTTCCCCCACTAAATCTAGCCTTAGCTAAACCTAGACAAAAACGAGCAGTTAACCCTTGAAGTGCGGGCTAGTCTCACTGCAAGGGTTAATACCAATTATTTCCTGGAGTTCCTCTTTAAACTCTAAAAATTAAAAGGTTTATGGCCTGTACTTATTGACTATTATGAACACAATGGAAGAATGGAGCAACAAAGGCCTACAGCTCTCCAGTATGCAGTGACCTATGGTCTGAACAGGGAACACTGAGAAAGGTAAACATGCCAAGGCATTGTACCAGGTGTGATAGAGGACAGAAGTCAAAGATAGTTCCCGATAAGCAATTTAAACCAGTGAAGCACAGAGCTAACAGGACACAAGTGGAGGTTTGGGCAGATAAAGGTCTGGCCAATTCCAGTCTGGTGTCCCCAAGTGCTCAGTAATGGAGATATGTGTAGCAGGCAGGAACAACAAGTTAGTGGTGTATACTCAGAAATCAAGTCATTAGGTTCGGGCCAGGTTAACAGCAAGTAGCTAGGACAAACCAATTCATGCAAACGGGTCGTCAGAAGCAGGCTTGTTACCAGATTTGCTGAGTGAACATTTAATAATAGCATTCTGCAAGAATGAGATTAAAGCTGAACCTCAGATACATATATCAAACAATTTAGTCCTGTTTTTGTGTTAAATAAAAAAAGCATTCAATGGATATTTAGACTGCTCTTTTGCTTTGTACAATGCTGTCAGTATAACACTGTGAACAAGCTTACAGGAGGGCAAGAGCGCAGAGATTACCTCATCAGTGTGGTTATGCTCCCTCTGTGTCCAATCAGCAGGCTGCATGTGATTTAAAAAAAAAAAATCTATTCTGTTACTTAAAGTGACACTAAAGTCAGGATTTAAATCTTAAAAATGCATTCAAGAACCTTAACCATTAACAAAATATATCTTATTTGTGTATCACTCAGCTGTAGATCCTCAAATCATCTCTGAATTGGTGCTGACACTGTCCTTCCTTCTGGAGGGTGGCTACTTTTGTTCCCCATGGTCCCTGTGTGTTTTATAAAGTAGCCAACGCTCCAAGCTTACTCCTCTGATAGACTACAATGTCGCGTTTAGTTTACTAATTTGTATTGAGATTGTAGTCTATTTCAGGAATGAACTTGGAGCGGTGGCTACTTTACAATACACACAGGGATCATGGGGAACAAAAGTAGCTTTCTGCATTCTTGCTATTGATACAACAATGCTGTTTATAACTCAGTTCTGCAATTTGCAATGCATGCCCCTATCCTTACATTAACTGATTATATTGTTGGAGTGTTAGATTATATTGTTGGATATGTTAGCAGCATTGAGTCAGACAGAATTTCACAACCCTGCAGTTCCTGGTTTCTTTTTGGCTGTTTAATTCCACTTTTCATGAAGTTATTTAGCTTTTTAAATACAGACCAATTCTTTTGATCTTGCATCTACTTTTCAACAACCCTTAAAGTGACATTAAACCCTGAGATTTTTTTTACATAAAACAATACTGTAATGTGTGCCTTACTGTAATCCATGGTTGTTTCCCTTCTCTTTGCTGCTCTTCCTTTTAAATCCGTATCTGTTCTCATGCTGGGCAGAACTTTGTTTTGCAGCAGACTGCTCTGTCTTTGAAATGGATACATGGTGTCTGTGTGTAGGTTCACAACCTGAGCTAGCACTACAGGAAGAGGCACTGAGCTGCAAAAGGAAGTTCTCTCCAAGCATGAGAAGAGATACAGATTTAAAAGGAAGAGCAGCAAAGAGAAGGGAAACTACCATGGATTACAGTAAGGCACACATTACAGTATTGGTTTATGTTAAGAAATCTGAGGGTTTAATGTCACTTTAAGCTTTAAAGTAATATTAAAGTCAAAATATTTTTAAGCTGTTTTAAATGCTAATGGAATCACTTACAATTGATGAAACTCCTTAATCTTTAAAAGTTTTAGCTTCCTGCAGAATCAGCTGGTCCCCTGATTTTATGGTGGCTCCTTTCCCTTGCAGGGCCCCATGGAACCACCCTTGTGTGTGCTAGAAAGCATTGTGTGTCTCCATAGACACACAAACTAGCCTCCCAGTTGCTGACTGCTGCATGTGCCCTCATATTTCTGGTCACTATCACTGTAACTTTCCTTGACTCACAGCGGCTCTCACTCTTCCTCACATTTGTATCCACAAATACACAGGCACAGCAAGGCAAGACACTTTTCTACTC